TTTGCATATGATCTTTCGTCAAACTTTTTCTCATGGCGACTGGCTATTAAAAGACAATTTGTTGCTACTCGTCTGAAAGTTATTTTTGGGACTGCTTTAGGGTAACTGTTCTTACAGATGAGACTGGTTTTTACATTAAGCGCTGGTTCTGCAGGCAATAATAATAATCATTCGAGTTTAACCACAACATGACTGTGATAGATACTATAGTGGAGGGCTCTGGAAATTCAGACCACTTGGGGTTCCTTTAATGTGAACCTAAATCAAAGCACACAGTTCTCGAGCATTTTTGTCTCAAACGCGACAGCAATGGCTAGGATTCGATTCCACAACCATAACTTGCAACTTTGCAAGTCAGTTCACAAAATTTTACTAGGCATCTTCACATCAGATGGGAAACATACTGCATCACATGCCACGCTACTCTGGAGCCAATGACAATGTAGCAAGAGCATTTCAGCTATTTGTGGGAGTTGTGCGCAAATTCCTTGCATGCCTGGCTTTTTAGTGTAACTTGAACCGACAAGAAATATTTGCACTTTAATTATTTACAAAAATGTGTGAAGCACACAAATAAGGCATTATGGACCCTTTTAAAAATTCTAAAGTTACCTTTCCTGCGATGCCGTTTCAACAAATTAAGGCGGGTAGTCACTAGGTGCAAACAGCCAGCTCAGGCGCAGTTTCCTTATGCAATGACATAGAAAATGTAGAGCCAGTTCTCTTGATTTAAACACACGTGATAGGCCAGCGCCCACACGTCCAACTGGGACTCTTTTTTTTTTCTTTTTGCCTATCTAACCACAGAGATGATGACCTGGCAGATATCTGTATCTTTGCTCTGCACAGCAAGGTTCACGGTGACGCCTTGCGCAATGCCCGTGGTTACCAGCTGCCCTCGCACCAGAACGTTGTGGCCGCCCCGGTCGACACCGGGCAAGAGTAGCGTGCGTGCTCTCTTGCCGACGGGCACTTTGTCCAAGCGTTTGCACACCTGCGTGCCCGGGAACTGGACGATCTGCTGTACAGCGTCTGCGAGCAAAAACAGCACCGCCTGGAGAAGTCTTCCTCAGTTCGATTTACATTATCTGGCTTCCTTGAACTTCACGAATGAGAAGCGGACCAGCCATCTTTTCGAAGGAATGTCTACAACCAGCTCAAACCTTTGCAAGTGTTCATTGCATTTCAATTCCTATGTCTGTTATCTTGGAAATGTGACAAGCAAATACATGTTCGAAGAGTACATATGCTGCAGCAGATTGCTTATTTTATACACATGAAGGACTTTATTTTGTAGTATTACAGTTAATGCAGTTAGAATCTACGAACATTTGACCATCACAGTAAGTACACTTATTCTGTCTGCAGTCTTGACATTTAAATATTCCTACTTTTCCATTCGGATAATGATGCATGTAGCACTGTGTTATGCCAAACAAGCGTGAACAACTGAGACATTACAATTTCTCTATCTCTCATGCAAGTAATGTACAGTAGAATCCTGCCATAACGAAGTCTGCATTAACAAAATTTTCACCACAATAAAGACTTTTTCATTCCCTGTCGAAGTGCCATAGGGTATAATGCTTCGAAATTCCCTCCAGTACAAACTTTTTCACGGCTGCGATTCCACTTTGACGAAGTTTTTTTGGAAAAACCACGAGCGAAATTTTTTTTAAGTAGAGCGTATAAAAATCTCAAAAGTGTTTTAATGCCTTGCCAAACCACGAACCTTAATAACATAAAATAAAGGCACATGAGAAGCTGCTGGGAGCAAACATACCGCATGCAACGCATACTTGTGCAACGTAAACAAAACAGCATGCCGCTGTATATGATGATGACGATGAGTGATGGCGACACAATATAGGTTAAAAGGAAATGTGTTGAATCGTGTTTATGTACGAACAGCACGCAATTATATTATTTTTTAGTATTTTTAATCATTCTTATGAAGCTGGTGAAACCGTTTTCATTGTCAGGAGTTGCTGTACCAAAATTGAAAACTGCGGGGCAAACCCCGGTAGGGTGCAACGAGGCCTTCGGGTGACAACTTCCGGTGCTTCCGGTTTGTCTGGCTAGCTGCACAACGAGCGGTCACAGGCCTTTCAGTCATTGTTTCCTGAAGGTGCGTTGTCGCGAATCAGCCATGTCTCAGCCAGCAAAGAAGCGCAAGTTTTTGTCGCTCAAAAACAAGGCTGACGCACAATATCGTTGCTAAGGGCTAAGGCCGAGGCTGATGCTGGGAGGAAGAAGTTGCGAATCGTTGAATATTGCAGCGAGCCCTGTTTTAACTATACTAAAAAGCAAGGATGCCATAATCAAAATTTTTCTTCAGGATCGTCAGCGAAACACAAGTTGAGGCAGCCAATGCATGAAGCCTTAGACAAGGCTGTCTACACCTGGTTTGTTGAGACGCAGGCCAAGAAAATTGCCCTTAGCTGCGATATTGTGCGACAGAAAGTGCTGGATCTTGCTTGCGTGCTCAGCATCAACGATTTTAAAGCCAGAGTAGGTTGGCTGAATCGTTTCAAAGCCCGCCACAATATCATCGGCAAAGTTTTGTGGGGTAAAGCTGCTTCGGCGGATATAGACGGTGCCGCCGCATGGATGTCGGCCAGCCCCGGCAGCGTCTTGACAGATTAGCACTGTTGGATATATATAATGCCGACGAGACAGGCCTTTTCTACGAGATGCTTCCCAACAAGACTTTAGATATTAACGAGCAACGCTGTCACGGAGAGAAGCACAGAAAAAAAAGGATAACCGTGCTTCTGTGCGCTAATATGGATAGCTCAAATAAGCTGCCTTTTTTGGTTATTGAAAAAGCGTCAAACTACGCTGTTTCAAAGGAAATCGGTGCCTTACAGCGAGGTATGTGGGCAACAGCCGGGCGTGGTTGACCCGTGCAATTTTCGGCGACTGGGCCAGGGAATTCGACCGAGACACGGGCGAACAAGGCCGGAAGGTGTGTCTGCATTTAGACGATTGTTCCATGCACGCCACTGAGGACGTGGAGTTCAAAAACGTGCAGTTCAAGTTTCTGCCCCCGAACTGCACGTCCATCATTCAGCCGCTTGACCAAAGGGTCATCCAGTGTGAAGAGCAATCAACGCAAGCATCTTATACAGAAGCCAATTTAGACCACTCGGTTGGGGCGAGAGACGAAAATCGACCCGTTCATAGCGCTCCAAATGATTGCTGCTTCGTGGTGCAGGACGGGGAGCGCCATAGTCGCGAACTGCTTTCGCCATGCCGGGTTCACTGTAGAGAGGGCCGAGACTTCGGGTTCTGCGATTGATGCTTGCGACGAGGGTGAATTGCCTGGCGAAGAAATCGCAGTCACATGGGCAGACCTGCAAGAAAGTGATGTGACTGCCAATGTGGATTTAATGAGTTCCTCCAAGCCGACTCAAACTAGGTGGTGCGCAAGGAAATCACTGATGAAGACATCATAAAGAGTGCACAAGAAGAGAGTGCTTCGTCAGACAAAGATGAGATAACCGCACAATGCGACCCCATCCTATCATTGACTTCGTCGATGCTGGACGCGTTCGACATCATCAGGCGTTGCATCGGGGCGCAGGACGATGACGAAGCAATGGCTATGTTGGTGGCCTGCGAAAGTCGTGAAGTGGCATCGCTTGGCAAGAAGCGAAAACAGGCAAAGTTGACCGATTTCTGGAATTAACGCTTGTTTTTGAGTAAGTCGAGCGTCACGTATGTAGTTTACGATATCGCAACAACGAATTTCTGCAACAAAATTTCTCGCTAGTCCTTGTCAATTTCGTTGTAGCGGGATTCGACATTACTTCCATTCAGTCACACTAATTAAGAGACTGGAAAGTAACGTCTACCGCAAGTTTAATTTAATTCAGATTTTATGCATGCAGATCTTACAAGAACAGCCAGTTTGGGTAATATAAAGGAAGGCCACCGGGGAAACGAGCCGTAATGCCCATCATGCTTAGCTAACTTGCACCATGTATTGAAAAAAAAAGCATAAGTGCTCTTGACCCAGTACTTATTCAAACAGTGCGCAGCACATCAGGATTCTTTCTTTTTTTTGCCGAACTGCCCGGCTGAGTAGTCAACAAAAAAAAAAAAGGCATAATTAATTTTGAACTAGTAACTCGAGCGCAAGTTAAGTTGTAAAACTTATTGAGAAGTGTCGGAATATATCATCTATGCTAGGCTGACTTTTGGGAACCACTATGCCTGTAGGCGAATTAGAACACATGTGCATGATATTTAAACTTCATCTTAGCTAAGTTAGCTAACAGAAGTCACTGTAGAATGAATAAACACGAAAAAAGGAATGCTCGTGGTGTGTTCTCTGTTATGTGTGTGTTACATTGTGATACAGTGACCATTGCATGTCAACTGACGCTGTTTCAGACCTGCAATCACAGGAAAAAGTCCTAAAAACTTTGACAGCAAAGAATCTGGACTCGGAAATTTCAGGTGACCTTATACACTTGCTCTACCAGGTACTTGCAAGTGCTGCTAAGGCAATCAAATTATTGGGCAAGTCAAGGTCAGCGACATGCACTGTCTTTCCATCATCTTTGCATGAACATATGTGTTGATAGGTGTCAGATCTGCGATACATTAGGTCTGATATTGATTTTTTGGCACTCTTTAACTCGTTACATTAACTGCAAGCGTTCAGCGAAAAGGACCCAATAAACCCTTTTCGTGATTTGCAAGTGGGCTTCCCTGCACTGCATATTCGCCCCACTAATGACAGCACCAGTCATGCTTCAAGTGGCGACGAGGTCCTAGTTGCACGGGCTAGAGCTTGTCTATGATGCGTGTTAGTATCAAGAGGACTAAGTAGGTGTTTTCTTCGTTGAAGTGCAAGCAAACTGCACTTAACATGTTGTGACTGGCTTCCATTAGTAGAGCGAACATCGTAGCAGGAAAGGCAGCTTTAAAATTACAAAACGGATTCACTCCGGCCCCCACATATTGCTGCTGTGCATTATCTCACCGTTGAGAATGTAGCGAGTGCCCAGGGCCTTCTGCCGTTGCCTCGAAACATGACGGAAGTAGACAGGCCGGTCGCACACCTCATCGTCCATGTGGAGGAGCGAGCACTCGAAGCAACATCAGGATGTCGGGCTGCAGGTCGTTGCAGTGCGCACCGAATTTCGCCAGGGTACTCATCGCAGCTGCACAGCTGGAAGGCACCATTCTGTCAGCCATAAGCTATGTTTCTCATTAGTGAAGTTGCAGTACGTTTGCAAAGTATGAACGCTGCACTATCAAAAAAATATACTTGGAAAACATAGTCTTAATATGAATACGTATATACTAGGTATGCCACTACGAAACTCATAAAGGCACTTCTTAAAACACCAAAGAAAGTTTGCTGTAGCATACATGATGATGTTTTTTTTTTGGCAATAATTTTATGCTCTTCGAACTCTTCTGTGATTGATACAGGAGTGTAGAGTGCCAGCGTACCTGTGCATTTCAGAACCCCAAGTGGTCACAATTTCCGGAGCCCTCCACTACGGCGTCTCTCATATGGTGGTTTTGGGACGTTAAACCCCACACATCAATCAAATCAACATACGCATTTCAGAGCTTCACATTGAACAGAGCCAGTTTTCAAATAAGCTCTTTTGTCCTCTTTGAACTATTTTGTCCTTTTACACCATTGACGACAATCAAGAAGCTGAAACTTACTCAAGTGCCAGGCAAAAAGTTATGCCTTGAAAATTATGGCACTTAAAGTTTTAGAAGTTGCACAATGAGTTATAGAGAAGCAGCAGCAGTGAGCTTCGTACTGTTTCCAACCACCCGAATTTCGTAAACAAGCGATTGGCAAGTGACGAAATCCAAGCGGAGAAATTACTAGGCTTGTGCAAATAGTGAATTTTAGGTCCGAAGCGAACAGTGATTTTGGTTGAATGATTTCAAGTCAAACTCGAATAGTATATATAGTATATTATAAAGAAAAATGGGTATATTTTTTTTACCTGGCAAGCATGCACAGTATTTTAAAAAAATTGAGACAAGCCATGTGCAAATGCCATATTTTTGGTTCAAAAGAAGATTAAACAAATTTGAATAGTAGCAGAATTTAACTTTCTGTAGAATGCAAACGATATTATGCAAGTTACGTTCATTATAAAATTTACTACACTTAGAGCATGTAAGCCGGCATAACAAGCTTCTAAACTTTAAAATGACGAACCAATGCAAATAACTTCGTTATATTCAAAAATTCATTATAAAGGTATATTCCTAACAATAACACCATTATGCGTTGGTATGCAGCGTATAGTGACAGTGTGAAAAAGAGTTGCTCGGCCCATTTTGTGTCCTCCAAGGCTGAAGTTACCGAACTTCGGTTGCTTGGTGGCGGAGGTGTTTTGCCAGTGCAATAAACAGGATGTTGCCCTCCTGGTTCGTCCACAAAGTTGAGTCACATCGTCAAAGAACTCTGTGCTCAGCACGGTCACGCTGAGATTTCAATGTTTTCAACGGAGTATTCTCACGCTGGTGCGCAGAGAACCGAAGTGACCGCAAGTAACCGCCTTGCTTACTCGTGAAGGCAATGTTTTCTTCAGGCTCTGATCAGCCTGGTACCACTGCCGCCAAAGAAAGCCTCCAAAGCACTCACATTGACACAGCTGTCACACGAGGTCCACCTGCACTTCAACATTGCGTGTTGAAACATTTGGCCTTGGGCACCAGACTAGAGTGACGTGTTGTTCTGTCTGCGATGAATGATTGGCGTGCTCAGGCAGGAGCTCATCCTAGAAGAGCACAATTTTTTCCAATGAGTGAAGCACAAACTTTACTGTCACATCTGTTTTACAAACCACTGTAATGAATTTCAGGGAGATAAAAACTTATCTCTACCTCTACATGCTGTCCCTTTCTTTTCGATAATGAAAGTTTTTTTACACAAGTCCTATGACTGGGAGCCTCCTACTATGACAGTAAGCCCCCCTACAGCTGCAATGACACTGTTGCGAGCGATTAACAAAAGCTCTTTAATGAACTGCTTAATAATTGACCTGAGGACAGCTGTTTATGGGAGAAAGCTGTAGAGCATGCATGTGTACAGCATATCCATTTTTGTAAGTCACAAAAGTTGCACGCAACTCCAGACATGCATAGTTGAATTTGGAGGGCGATATCAAAATTAATCGCACCCGGCCTGCACAAAACACAACCGCACTGTTGCACCAGGCGGTAACTACATTCGACGAAAAAGTCTCGAAACTTGAACCAAGGCCCTGACGCAGAACAAGGTATGTAAAATCGGCAAGTATTCTGATATTAAGTCGGCAAACATTCTGATGTACACAAGTCGACAGCTTGTCTTTCAGGCACAATGTGCTGAGCTGATTTTTCGACCCGTCTGGAGGAAGAAACAACAGTGGATTCTGCAGAGTTTTATGCTTCATAGAGTAAGGAGACATGAAAATTGCAGCTTTCCTGCGCATAGCTTGAAAGAAACATATATGCACCCGAAATCCCACACACAAGGTAAGGAGATTCACTGGTCCAAGCAAGGTCACTTGCCGATCTTCAAGAAAAAGACGGCCATGACTACCACTGCCTAGAGCATGAAAACTCATCACGTATCTGCAAGCCTCACCTTTCCAACGCATTTAACGTAACATCGCCGTGGCCTTCTCCTTAATGTACCGTCCCTCAGCAAACAATTGAAGCAGGTGGGCTGCGAGTTGCGTGTGGCACCTATAACCTGCACAGTAATCGGGCAACAGTGAGACAATGAAACACGTGCAGCAAGTATTTAAAAGAAGAGACATACAAAAGCTAGCAAATTTTACGGGTTGACAATGTCACAGGGATGCCGACATAAAAGCTTCGTATGTTGTTTTCTCCAATGTAATAAGTAACCAATGCAGATTGATCACGGCCGGAAACCTCATTTGCACAAGCACATGACAGTTGATTATCTTGTGACGTCTTGTAGCACCCAGTCATAGTTTTGGTTTCAGGGCACACTGAGAAAGGAACAACCTGGAAGGTGTTACGAACACATCCGGCCACATGAGATCCATTCGAGAGAAGGGGGGAAGTACCCCCTAGTCACCTGAGAGGAAAGGTGCAAAGTGGGGCCCATACATGAATAACAGGAAGGTGGGGGCACTGCGATGAGCCTTGGTCCTCTCTCAAGAAAAACCCTGTGCATGCTTATGCATGTGACCACACGAAACAGTGACACATAAGCCATGCTTACAGCTGCACCAGCAAGCCCTAGAAAGGTGCATGGAAATAAGCTAAATGTATTGATGTTGATGGTTATTTCATTTATTCTAGGTTCATAGTGATGTTTCAACCTGGTAAATGAGGCAAATAATTCTGTAGCCATAGAAACTTAATCTCGATAGATATGTGGGGTTTAACGTCCCAAAACCACCATTTGATTATGAGAGACGCCGTAGTGGAGGGCTCCGGAAATTTTGACCACCTGGGGTTCTTTAACGTGCACCCAAATCTGAGTACACGGGCCTACAACATTTTTGCCTCCATCGGATAGAAACTTAATCTCACTGAAAGTTTCGTCAGTAAAGTTTCAAGAGCGGAGGTTCGTTGGTTTTCCTTGATGTCATGAAAAACAATGATGCATCGGCCTAGCACAAGGGTGTCACTTCATCAAATTCAATGCACCCCAAATAAACCTTCACTTCGGAGTAAGTGTCTGTATTTGTTTTTTCTTTAATGTTTGTCCTTGTTCCTCCCCTATGAAGATAAAAGTTTGACGGCTTAAAATATTCAGTGCATGCTACTAAATGGCAATGTGGCATGAGGCAAGTGTGCGTTCTAGGATATTCTATTTTGGTGTTCTAAGGAGCTCAAGCGAAGTTCATGATTTGTCACTGATACTGCTCCCTAAACACCACGCACAACAAAAATTGAATAGACTGAATTAGTGACTGAATTTTGCACTCTTCTGACGATATGAATTGGACTTGTATACTGAAATTGCACACGAAAGTCACAAAGAAATGCAGAATTTTCCCACTATAGAGAAGATGGAAGTCAGCAAAGCTGCTACTATGAAAGGTCTACAGTAGTGAATATTGGTATAGCATGTCCATGTATGTCAAGCACCCATTGGCCATGAATGAAAGACGTGGTGCTGCTAGTCGCTCCCCCACTACGTTCAGCTTTGGTAAGCGCTGCGGTATGGGCAGGTATACGTTGATAGCTGACAGTACAAAGCCAAGGTACCACACCTATAAGCAATGCCTCACGGCACGTACTAGGTCTTCCTCCATAGCATCGGAAAAAAAGAATCTGTATTTTCTGTAACATTACAGAAGAGTCGCATGAGCAAAAGGCACCAAGGCCTGACAGAGGCTCCAGCTTCAATGTACTGATGAGTTGCACTACGGCAAAACACCTGCACCCATATCAGCCTGTTGGGCGTCCTGCACGCCGTCTTAGGACAGTTACGGGGCTCACTTTTCTCTTTTCATTTAAGAATCACCCCCCCCCTTTCCCCGTCGTCGTTCAGGCCAAGTCTCTGGCGAGCCAAAGACGATAGGGGACGGCACACGTGGTGCCAAACTGGTCGCTGATGAGCTCTCGTTTAAACCTCGCGGTCAACTTGAAAATAATGTCCAATTTTGTGTAGTCACAGTGGCATGCACCTTGGTAGCATAGTGCTCCAACAACCTAATCCACATCGGTAGTATTGACGCGCTGGCACCGGGCACACGAACGCTTTTGCTCATGTCAGCCTCTAGGTGGACGAGCTGCTCTTTTTTCACGATAACAGCTACTCAACATGGCAAAACTCGAAGCAACAGCAGCGGCTAAGTATTCTGTGGCAATGGATTTGTGTTGTTTTCAAACCCATTCATGCTTCCGTGTGTTCATGCTTTTTCAATTACCTTTCTTCTTCCTTTTAGCAAAATCTCTTCATCAAGAGCAAAAATGGGCATAATGGTTTCTCAAAAGTGCTACCAGAGAGTATCACAAAACTTTTGAGAGACACGTCAGCAGTGACAAGGAGCCCCTGTGCTAAGGATAAGGAACTTTATACAGAAACCGACACAAATATGCTCTAAAAATTATTCTATGTATCGTTTTGTCCATGGACACACTGCACCAGAACCCAGCCAAACAAAGCTTCGTTCTAAAACGGGCACGTTTCAAAGCCTGCAGGACAAGTTGTCATGCTGCACGAAGGAGCCGTCTGAATTGCTGTACATCGTCTGCTGCTGTTTAGTCACACGATGATTAGTGCTTATAATGAGTTATATCACGGGGCATGGGCACTTTATGCTATGCCTCTTACAAGGTAAAGAGAGTGAGGACTGAGAAGCAGTGCCGCCTTTGGAACGATGAGGCTACTGGGTGCCTGCCCCGTGTCTTTCGGATCAATGTGAATGTCTATATTTGCACTTAATTGTTCCCAATATAACTAATATCCTTATCTAACTTATTTGCCACCAGAAATGATATACAAGATCTTAAGCAGAGACCCTTCTTAGGAGGAAACTGCTCCATTGGGAGCAGTACCTGTGTTCCTAGGCATCACAAAGAATATGCCCATTACCAATACCACAAATTCAGATGAACCACTCCTTGCTGAGACTTGAAAAACGTTAAACCGAAACACCACATGCATGAGAATCCAAAGTACAGTGATCCAATCGGACCAATCACAGTCACTGAAGCTGTCATTTGCACTACTGGACTCCTACAGCTTCGGCGATTATTATTTTGCATTGCTTGCATGAGGGCAGTTACTCTGGGGCAAAAGTGGCGTGATCACCGTGGTATATAACGTAAAATGATATCCTTGTTATAAAACGTGACGGAAAGTGTTTTTGAAGGTCGTGCAGTACGTTTTTTTTTTTTTTTACGGGGGAGGGGGGGAGGGAATGAGCATTGTTTATTTCTTCTGCACACATCAGGTCTAGTGGCCAAGTGATTTTTTTTGACCTCGCAAATGGCCTGTTTCGTCGCTCACTTCACGGAATTTAAGATCCCACATGCCTGAGCTATTGCGAATGAAGAATGTATTCCACGGCAAGTCCGCCAAAAACGCACACAGCGGTATCCTCCCATCACTTTGAGATTTTTCAACTACTTCTACAAACTAAGGTTAAACGTATGCCACACATGTATGCACCAAAGAACTGTAGTCAATGACAGGAAACATGAGGCAAGCTCCCCCCCCCCCCCCCCACACACACACACAATTACAGATAATAAATCACCGCCATGTCCACAAATCGCGAATCCTCTGTACACATCTCTTACTAACATATAGAGACGTGACCACGTTGTTATGTAAACATACACAATGTTTGTTAATGTTCCTTTAGATGCGCTATATACATTTTGATTAACTACATACATTATATGTATGCAAGGTACCTTGCAGCTGTGGCCGAACATGTGGCCGAGGAAGTCGCACGCGAAGCACGCGTCGGCAGCGCCGCCTACATCGGGCAGCGACCGCTTCTGACACCTGACCGCGGCATCCAGCGCCCGTACTTCTTCGAGGTTCTTCCGTTTCCGCTTCCGTTTCGCTTCTGCTTCGCGACGTCTGACCGCAGGATCCGCTTGCCGGCGCGCCCGCTTCGCCTCGGCTTCCCGGGCTGTCACCGCCGGGTCTCGGCGGCGAGCCCGCCGCACTGCTGCCTCGGCCTCTGAGCTGTTCACGCGGCCGCTGCATGCGTCCACGGCGTCGTCATCTTGCTCGCACTGCTGAACGACAAGTGCGCTGGCGTCGGTCTTGGCGCGCTTCCGCGTTTCGTAAGCTTTCCTATAACGCGCTAACCGGGCCTCCCTTTGCTCCGGCGCTTCGGCGAGTAACTTCGCCTTTGCTTTGGCTTTCGCGGCCTGCCGTCTAGCTATATCTGCCGGATGACTGGATTCGGCTTGTCGCTTGCGCTGAAGCGCGCGCACGGATAGCCCAGTCCACCGAGTGCCAGACGGTGTGCCGTAGGCGTTCTCCGGTGTGCCATCCATGGCGAAAGTAGAAAGTGTTTTGATTGAAACCACGGGGAAACCAGCTGCACCAGCTGAGCGATCAAGCCGGCCGCTGAGCCGTAGCCGATCAAGGGCCGGCTAAAAAGCCGTTAGAAGCGCCCTCAAACCAACGCTTCTAGAACTAGACGTTGGGGATAACGTTACATCAGAATGTTGGAAAACCAACATTTAGCCCCTGTGCAACATTCAAGGGACTGAAAACTAATTTCTATTACACTTTTTTCTAATCTAAACCTCGGCGTTAATCACGGAACCGTAACACGGTAAACGCTGTGAAACGTTCGTCATAATTAAACTTTTCAATTCGCGGCGATTATGATGAAATACACAAATAAGACATTCGCCAAACAGTGGGAGGTGAGCGTGAGGGCAGTTCGTGTTCGTGCGCGGCGGTTCACTGCGCATGCGCGGTAGCTCGACATGTTTCATTACTTGCAACTAGTGGTAACGAAGATAAAAGGGGCATGCAACTCCTTTTAGCATGTAAGACGCATTAAAATTAGCGGTGATAAATAACAGTGTACATACTTTAAATTTGGGCACTAATTATGATGTGCATGAAAGCATCAGACTACGCCCAGCAATGTTGCGCGACATGCCGCCTTTTTTTTTGTGTGTGTGTGTGCGCGACTTAAATCTGTTTTAAAAATATGTTCCATTCAGATCAGGGAAATTGTGCTTGAATCTGCCCCTATAATTGACAGTGTTTTCATTTCCACCAGAATCTGATAACATGTTCCAGCCAGTTGTGGGCCCCTTTGATGTGTGGTCAAAGCACTGTGCTAGTCCATTCAATATCACCGATTACAGTGAGCGAAGTGACTAGTCTTCATAACTTATGCACAGCACGAGTATGGAGGAAACAAGAAATCACAACGCCAAGTACTGCTTTAGAGGGTAGCAGCATTCCCACCGCAAGAACGAATCCACACAAGAAAGCACCAATCAAGGTGCACTCCAGAATGACATCATAAGCCGGATAGTTGGTAGATTTTTGAGATTTTTAACATTCTTGAGATTTTCGAGTACATGAGCAGGATGACTACATTATCCGTGAAGGCAATTGGTATGGCTACCGTGCTTCGGTCATATGGGTGCGGCCCTTTTTTAAGGGGCCCTGAAACGGTTTTGACGATTTTGTACAAACACATTGGTCTAGTTGACCAAGTGCTCAGCTCTCTGTGTAAACTGTGTTATTCATTACTACGTCTAAATCTGCAAATAGTTACAGATCATTGTGGCTGAGTGTTTTTAACCACCCATTCACAGTACGACATTCACTGGAAGCATGTCGTCACCCAGGTTTCTGATCCGATTTGGTGTGGAATGTGCATAAGAACGATTGCCTGGTAGGGTGTCGGCACCTGTCAGAGCAGATACCGACTACTCCGCGATCTTCGTCTCCGTTGCCAGACGACGTGCATGCTGCCGTGTGCACTGGGTTTACGGTCTCTGTGATCACATGCAACCTGTCGGCGTGCAATCTCGGGAGTCATGGCTGGGCAAAGCTCAAATCGTCAAGGCCACTTATGAGAGCTCTGCAACAGCCAGGGAGTCTCATGAGCTGAGAAGGCAAGGCAAGGGTGAGAAGGAGGATATGATACAATTGTCGGTAACAGCCTTAGTTCATGGCTGTTACCGACAATTGACCTAAATTTGTAGTGTGAATGGTTTGAAGATGCCCTAGCCTAAACACTGACAAAAAACAAACCGTTTCAGTGTTCCTTTAAGATGTATGTGGCTGTAACAGTTTTATAATTGCTGTAAATGAATTTTGGTGTTTAGGAAAATACTTAAAGTAACAGTGGTCGCTGCTGGAGCCTGTGGCATCACTGATGAGTGCGTTGCCACTATTTCTTGATGTACTGCTACATAGTACGTGCACTCTAAATTTCGTGGTGGCTGTTGTGCTTTTCTGATGCATCTTGGAACTCAGGTGACTTGTATTGAGTACTTATTGAAAAATATGTGCACGTTGTTAGGTTACTGCGCACCACTTAAAAGATTAACACTTACAAGATGAAGAACTATACAGACACACTTAAGAGACAAATAACTATTTGTCTCCTAAGTGTTCATCTTTTAAGTAGTGCGCAATAACGTAACAATGAATAGCTACCAAGCTAGTATCGCTGTGAGCACATATTGACAGAAGAGCAAGGCTGACATAAAATAAGGATTCTTCAATACATTCCTTTTCATGCTTGAAGACTAGTTGTAATCAGCCTATGCTACCATTATTACATGCAGGTTCAGAGCAGTAGGTGATAAAGTGTTGGAAACAAGGAAAAAAGTACTGATGTCGTACTAAGCCAGAATACAGACTAACTTTTTACTTTCTCACTTCTCAGTGTAGCCAGCAACTGAAAACCGCATTCCTGAACACTTGCACAGCAACAATCGGCAAACCATGGGGGTGCCAAGATGTCTATACAATTATATTCGTGAAAGCAAGTAACAAAATAAACTGCTTTTATCGCTCTCTTGCTTACTGATAGTCTGCTAGATATTCTCCTCTGCAATGCCAGTTACAAAAACAACAAGAGGTCCAAACTTAGGCACTTTAACATTACCATATTTTAAAGCAACTGCATTTTCACTGTACATTGCAAGACTACCTTTGGAAAAATTAAATCCTCAGATGTAAGCTTTCGTACATGAGCAATGCCACAAAATCACTGTTGTGTTTCCTGAAGACGACTGGACTTCATGAATGCCTATGAACCACTTGCAGACGTTCATGTTTTGCAAGTTCTCCTTCACTGTCCATTCTGTATTTTTCCCCCTACTCTTTGTGCATTCTTTTTTCTATTACCTATTTTATTTACCTTCCCATGTGTAGGGTACTTTGTTGAGCATATATTTGGTTAACCAGCCTGCTTTTCTATTTGTCTCTTTCTGGCTGTCTGGTCTCGGATATGGCAGTCTTATTTTGAGGATTTGAGCTTTTTATGAGATTCTTGGCTCATTTGCAACTCTAGCAGCCAAGAAAACCTAGCCTGTGATCTGCTAATGTGGCTCGAACGCGTAGGATTTCGAATAAAGTAGACTTTCACAGCAGTTCCCTACTGAAACGTTCCGTAAGATGCAGAGACCTCACATACGGAATTATTGGAATATGGAAGACGTATGATGCGGACTCCGCATAAGACGTATGATGCGGAAATTACTGAAATGTGTGCATTTTACGTCTGAATCTAGTGCAAAGCAATATAAAGTGTAAATTGAATAGACGTCCACATCTTGAGTACATGCAATACTGTGTACAAATCACAATATTTCTTAAATGTGCATGATGAGGGATTGAATCATCGGCATCTTACTAATTGTCGTGATGCGGAAGCAAAATTACCTTTTAAATAAAATACATTACAAAACTACTAAACATGCTAGCGATCATAAATGGTGGTTACATTGCAACACATTAATGCAGTGTTCTATGCAAGACTTAAAGAACTTATAAAGTTATTATTATCAATAGAGAAGCATTAATATACACATCAGCCCTGCTACAATCAATGTTTTTTTATTTGTCTGTATGCTCCAGCTGTGAATAGTGACATTGCAGTGTTGATCGTACACAAATGAGGTGACTGCACCGGAATTTCACGAGCTCCACCTAAGCCACAGGATGATGGCACAATGTAACAGCAATTTTAGAACGAAATGTTTAAACATAAATAATAATCATAGCACTGTGAAAGTGTGGCGCTGTGTTTATCTCATGAATGCCTTGTGGAGATCGGCGAAATGCTGCTTGAGGCTCCGGCACCACTGTAAATTTCGAAGGTCACTGCGATAGAACTTATGTGTCCTTCATAGGCTTCTGGAAATGAAAATAATTGGCACAAATAATGTCAGAGACACATCTTAGCACAATAGTTTACATGCACAAGAAATATAACACACAGAATGAAACTGAAAATTTAAGGCACACAATCCTTCATGTTATGCATATGTGAATAATAGAAGGAATGAGTGTATAAATTAGTTCTGCCACATCAAAAAAACAGCATGCTTATCACAGTGAAAATAACTAGGTTGTCACGATTTTCAATGGTAGAGATAATCGATTAATATGTCCTTATGAAATTATGATTTAAACGCTTCCTGCACAGTAAATCTTTAGGAACTGCAAGTGAAAGCTCTCAATGTTCATTTAATAGTGTGTGCATGTACATCTGCTGCCTTTATACTATACAGTTTGTGCACAAAATTGGCATCTTGAACAATTTTGAGAGTTAAACCTATGCAACTTATGAAGGTTAAAATCACCATGAAAGCAAGCAGGACCAGGCAGGTGCCATTAAATATCTGTGCAAGCCAGATAACTATAACCGAACTGCACACATATAGGGGAGCAAGAGTAACAGAAATTCGGCTGCTGACCCGCATGTCGCGGTATCAAACCCCGGCTCCATTTCCGATGGAGGCAGAAATGCTGTAGGCACGTGTGCTCAGATTTGGGTGTACGTTAAA